CGTTCGTGACGCACTAGGCCAACAGGATCCGGGCAATAAACGACGGGGTGGGACGGCAGAGGTGCGGCGTTGGAACGGTGCCGAGCCGTATATCGTGGTAAACCGGGGCGAGGACTTTGCCGATCCGTTCGATGCACGGTTTTTCGCAAAGACGTTCCCAACGCTGTTCCCTCTCGGTCGTGGGGGCCCACTTCAGGCGGATAAGAGCATCCAGGACGTCGCTGGGGCGAGGGACGTAGGCATCGAAGCGGCTGATCGGCTGAGGGGCCTTATTATATCACGGAACATGAGCCTCGAGACGTAGGCTAAACTAGTCCTCCAGCGTCACGGTGGTCGATTCGCGTCACACCACATCTTTCCCTTTCTTGTTTTTAATGTAGGCGTCCGGTCAAGGAATCGCCGTGCCAGCATGGCGAGTGTCGCAAGGAAAGATTTCCCCGCAGTCGAGCGCATCGTACGTTCGCTGAACGCGGAGCGGCTAGAGCGTGCCAAGGGCGAATTAGAGGTCTCGCGAACGACGAGCGACGAGGACGTTAATAGGCTCTTAAGGAGCCTATCGCTGTATGGATATCGCCAGCCGATGTCGAGGGAGAGTCGTTTAAGCATGCGGCGCAAGATCCAGTCCCTCATCATTCGGGATGGTATTCCGGCAATCTGGTTCACGCTGAATCCGAACGATATAACCAATCCGATCAAGCTCCGGCTTGCTGCGTATCGGACCCGGGATCCAGAGGTGGCTGAAGCCTTCTTAACGAGTCTAGATCTAGCGTACAAGCGAGCACGGCTGGCGATCTCGGACCCGCTCAGTTCGGCAATCTTCTTCCACCGGGAGATTTCCCTATTGTGATGGATCAGAGGTCCGCAGACCTGGATGCCTTGTGGCCCTGTGGCCCGTTTGCTCTGTAAACACCAGAACAGATAAACGCCTCGCACACCTTAGATAGATTCCTCCTTCATAGCAACAATTCAATGTTTGCCTCACGATTGGAGATTCCCGACAGTGAGACTCTTACACCTATTCTTTAAGCACTACGTAAAGATAGGGGAGGACTCGGTATTCGGGCGGATTAATCGATACTTCGGAGCCGTGGAGACTAACGAGCGCGGGTCACTACATGTCTACGGACTCCTCTGGCTTCAGGGAAATATGCAGCTGAGTTCTATTTCGCAAGACGATAATGAAGAGGATCGGGAGGCATATCGGGAGCGGGTTGCCCAGTATATAGATAGCGTATTTACCGAGGTATGTCCGCCCTATCGTAACCATATAAAGCAACGGTAGTCGAAAGTAAGGCTAAACGATGTAGGATCTCGATTACGAGGCATTTTCCGCCGTTCGGGCGGAACGGTCCGTAACGTCGGACATATCGCCATTGCTAGCTAATCGCGAGCAATTCGCCGCCGCGTTTAAAGAGGAGGCCAACCTCTGCGCTGGGGCTACGCAGATCCACACCCATAGCCCGACGTGTGTAAAGTACTCTATTAACGGGCAAACACGAAGGAATCAGGACCTGTGCCGGTTTAAGGCGCCGTGGAAATTGGTAGAGAGGACGGCGTTTACCGAGGAGGGAGTGTTGCAGATTCGGCGGACGCATAGCATGGTGAATCGATGGAATAAGGCGATCGCGGTAGGGCTGCGTCATAACCATGATATTTCGTTCATCGGAACGCAGTGTAAGACCATGGCTCTCGTCTTTTACCTGACGAACTATGCAACCAAAGTCGAGGATCCGGTGTCAAAACGGGTGGCCGCAGCGGCAGAACTCATCTCGGCTCATAACGGTGCGACGGCGGAGCGGCAGGAGGGCGCAACGGATGGCCCGATAACGGGCAACGGTAGTGAGAACCAAACACGCCAGTTTTTGATGAGAATCGCGAACCGGATCTTCACGGAGCGGCCGTTATCACAGGTAGAAGTCGTCTCTAACCTGCTGGGCTACCCCAGGGAATTTACTAGTAATGATGCCTGGTCGTTCGTTAACGTCAGTTCCCTATACTGGCAAATTTTCCGCCGATGGCCGCATCTGCAACGCGAGAGTGGTATAGACTCTAGAGACGAGGTAGTTAAGGAGACGGTATTCTTGCACGAGGCGGGGGTAAGAATATCTCTAGTGCAGGCATACCCATTCCGTGGCCGAGTCTTCCAAGAGCTTTGCCTCTATGATTATATGTCGGTAGTCAAGTTGAAGCGAAAGGGTAAGGGCGTAGGTACGTGGGGGGAGATACCATTAGACCATGCCTGGTCTCCGTCGCGGTCGTGGGTACAGGTGCTACGAAAGTCCGGCGAGCATGCGATGGTCTGCTTTGACGGTTACCTAAGCAGGAACCTGACTGAAGAAAGTGAGGACTACTATAAGAGGTATGTGCAGCCCCGCTCTCGGCATGATCGGACTCGTCTCTATATTTATGTGAGAGACAAGACACAATGATGCTTAGGAAGGTTGACGTTTTGGTATACGTAGGGCGGCTGTTCAGCATCTTGCCATTTTTGTGCCGTGGGAGTCCTTTTGGGGCGATACAACGGGTGACATCAACACCATTTGGGAGAGTCGAAAGCAGGCCCTGCCTCAGCGGATGGCATTTGTCGCCGATAATATCCAACTACTACACCGGTCGGCCGAAGATGCAAAGCGGGATGCCAAACAGTGGGCTGCGATGTCCGGAGAAACAGATCCTTTCGCCGATACGGCCGATTTAGAAGATAGGGGAGATGATGGGAATGAAGGACCAAGGGCAACGTACCGGTCGGACAGTCTCGGCAACGCGATACGACTCATTGACGTCTTAAGGAACGCAATAGGGGCCAATCAGGTTACGGCCGGCT